CCGGAGTGGCAGTTCCTCCTCTGTCTGTTGGGTCAGCCCACGAGACTGGAAGCCCAGATGAGTAGGGTCCCTCCTGGGTGCCCCAAGGTGGGTGGCGCCGTGCCCAGTGCCAGGTCCCCTGGAACAGAGAGGCAGCCTGCTGATGACCTGGCCTCTGCCAGCCAAGGCTTCAGGCAGCCAACGCACTGTCCACACTGCACTGGTGACACACTGGTCTCCACACCAGCAGTCTGTACACCCCTTTCTGGTTGAAGCTACCTGGTCAGAGTCTATTCTAGAAAGAGGCAGTGATATGGGGACCCCTGTCCTTTCAGCGATGAACAAAGAGGGCTGCCCCCACCTTCGTCCCCATCACCATCCTCTGACCCGGGCAGACCTGGGGTTAAAAGAGAGCCGTGGTAGGGGGAGGGACAGCATTAGGAGATATACGTAATGTAAATGACGAGTTAATGGGTGCAGCACACCAACATGGCACATGGATACATATGTAACAAACCTGCACGTTGTGCACATGTACCCTAGAACTTAAAAAAAAAAAAAGAGAGAGAGAGCCGTGTGGCCTGGGGAAGCTGCTTCGTCTTGCCCTGCCTCAGTTTCCCCAGGGTGGGTTAAATAGTGGCCCCCAAAAGATGTGCCTACGTGCACCCTCAGAATGGGACCTTATTTGGAAACTGAGCCTTTGTAGATATGGTTAAAGTAAGGATCTCACGATAAGGTCATCCTGGGTCAGAGTCAGGGTGGGCCCTAAATCCAACGCAAGTGACCTTATAAGAGACAGAAAGAGGTTCCTCATTGGAGGAACAAGACAATGTAAAAAATAATGACAATTTTTTTTTTTTTTTTTTTTTTTTTTTTTTTGAGATGGAGTCTCACTCTGTGACCCAGGCTGGAGTGCAATGGCATGATCTTGGCCCACTGCAACCTCCGCCTGCCTCAGTGCTTCTCCTGCCTCAGCCTCCTGAGTAGCTGGGATTACAGGAGCACGCCACCAAGCCCAGCTAACTTTTGTATTTTCAGTAGAGATGGGGTTTCACTGTGTTGGTCAGGCTGGTCTTAAACTCCTGACCTCAAGTGATCCACCTGCCTCGGCCTCCCAAAGTGCTGGGATTACAAGCATGAGCCACCACACCCAGCCAACAATGTTTTTAAAAGACAGAGAAAGAGGCTGGGCGAGGTGGCTCACGCCTGTAATCTCCAACACTTTGGAAGGCCGAGGCAGGAGGATCACTTGAGCCCAGGAGTTGGAGACCAGCCTGGGCAGCATCTCTACAAAAAATTGTAAAATATAGAAAGTAGAAGACACAGAGACACAGAGGAGAAGGCGGAGATGGGAGTGGTGCAGCCACAAGCCAAGGACACCTGGAGCCCCCAGAAGCGGGAATAGGCAGGAAGGACCTTCCCCTGGAGCCCTGTGCAGAAGTTCGGCCCTGCCGCAGCCTTGACTTCAGATCTCTGCCCTCCAGAATTGACAGTCAATGTGGGCTGTTTGAAGCCACACAGCTGTGGTCATTTGTCACAGCAGCCGCAGGAAACTCATCCACATTGGAAAACAGGAAAATGCTTCACACAGGTTTTATAAGGATGAGGAAAACTCTCCCAGGGACCTTGGCACACGAAGTCCTAGGAAGCAGCAGCTGCTCACTCAGCTAACTCGAGTCCCTGTGTGTGCTGGGCGCAGGACCGCGGGACAGGGGCTTGGCCTCTCTGCAGCTCAGCCCTGCTCCAAGGCCAGCAGGCAAGGGTGCAGGCAGACAGCGCTGTGGGGACAGAGGAGGACGGCGCTGAGGCTGACTTCACCACACAGCAAGATGAGCCGGGGCCGAGGGCAGAGATGGGGGCATGCCAGGTGGAAGGAACCGTGCGAGCAGAGGCCTGCCTGTCAGAATATGTGCAGAGCTCTGGGCAAAGACAGGTGCAGGAAGTGGGGCAGAGCCAGGGGAGCAGGAGAAGAGATGAGGCCGCATCCGGGAAGGGGGGTTGCTGAGGGCCAGGGGCTTGGGGGTGAAGGGGCTCGGAACACAAGCAGGGGAGCCGTGCATGGCTCAAGCAGGGGTTTCCGTGGCCTGACACTGAGGTGTCCTGGGTGCAGCAGGTGACGTCCAGGTAGGAGGCAAAGGGGTCTGAATCCCGGCCCAGGCAGGATGTACGGGGCCAGACCCCAGCACTGCCTGTGGCACTTGGGGTGCCCCAGCACAGAGTATAGTCAAGCCCTCCTCCCTGCCATGGGCTCCCTGCCCGTGCCTCAGTTTCCCCAGGGCTCCCTGGAGCTGTCGCTGTAGCACTGTAGGAACGCAAAGCAAAGCTAAGGACCCTCCTATCGGCCTGAGGCCTCCTGGGCAGCCATTCTTCAAGGGACCATGTGCTGGGGGCCCACCTGGTGTCACCTCATGCTGGACACAAGACCCTGATCCCTGGAACTGCAGTATCCACCCCCCACCCTGTCCTGGGGTAGCTGGGGACCCTCTCAGGCCTGAGGGGAAGACAGGAGCTCCCCAGCACGAGGAGCACGCCACTGCAGGGTTGGGGTCAAGCAGGGCGAGCTCCCAGACAGGCTCAGCTGGCCCTGGCCCTGGCCCAGCCTCCCCGTGCCCAGCCTGTGAGGCTGCCCTTTGAGCTTCTGGATTAGTATTCACGCCGGGTCCCCAGCTCTGAAAGCCCTTGTTCCCTCCAGAGAGCAGCCAGGGCGGCTGGGGCTGGGGGGATGCTCAGTGCAAAGTGACAGCCCCAGCCACACACTGGGGCCCTTAGCCCGCTCCCCCAGGACCCCTCCTCCACTGTTGGGGCTGTCCATGGGCTCCGCCAAGGCTGGGGGACTGGGAGGGAGGCCCATCTGTCCGTCTGTCTGTCTGTCTGTCTCTCTCTGAGTTTGTGTCTCTGTCTGTCTCTGTCTCTTGGGGTTCTTGGTCTCTCTCTGTCCCCAACTCCCTCCTCCCTCCATCCCCGTCTCCTATCCTCTCGTGCTGCCTGCAGTCAGGGGCAGGAGTAACTCCACATGTAGGTTCTCCAACAAGAAAAGGCACAAGGGCCAGACACATGGCAGCGAATTTCCCGTGACATCTCCCTGCACCACCCGTCCCTGTCAGGGTCTGTCTTGACTCTGAGCTGCCTGCAGACCTCCCCACAGCCCCCACAGTTGAACCCCAACAACAAGAATACCAAAGGTTTGACTGGGCGCGGTGGCTCACGCCTGTAATCCCAGCACTTTGAGGCCGAGGCGGGCAGATCTCTTGGGCCCAGGAGTTTGAGAGCAGCCTGGACAACATAGCAAGACCCACCCGCATCTCTACAAAAAATTTAAAAGCATTAGTCGGGCGTAGTGGCATGCACCTGGGAGGCTGAGGTGGGAGGATCACCTGAGGCCGGGGAGGTCAAGACTGCTATGAGCCGTGATTGCACCACTGCACTCCAGCCTGGGCAAGGGTGAGATCCCATCTCAAAAAATAATAATAATAAATAACAAAAGCTGCGTTGATGGTGCCCATGGCCAGGCACACGCTGGTCAGGCCAGCTTCGGGTTTTCGGGCCTGAGTGGCACCGAGCTCAACCGTGTCCCCGCTCTAGCCCTGTGTCCTCAACTCTGAAACGTGGTTCTAAGATGGATGGGATTTGCCACAAGGGGGCATCCATGGGCAGGGGCGCAAACAGTTGGTACACAGGGTCCTGGAAGGTTTCTGACCTGGAGGCCGCCCTGTCCGGCACCTGTGGGTCACACCGCTTTGGCAGATGCAGGGATCCTGAAGGCCTGGTGTCTGGTGATTTGGCCGGGTTCCACCCAAGGCCACACCACGGACCATGGAAACCCCCTCGGAGTCCTCAGATGTGGCTGGCCCCTGGCTTGGCCAGCAAGGTCACCAGGGAGGCCCGGCATCCCTCGGGGTCCCGCCCTGGGAAGGAGCCTCCAGTGAGTGCATGGGCTGCGCTGGGCCTGTCCATGAGGCGCGTGAGGGGCCCCAGCTCTGCAGGCAGAACCCACGGCCGAACCCACGGCCCAGCGGCTTCATCCAAGTGGCCAGAGCTGGCCTGAAGCAGCCGAGACCCTCCCGAGCCATCACCTCTGCCTCCCACACACCCGGAGCTGGGGTCGGGGGTGAAAATGAGGCGGGAGCCCCTACTCCTTGGGTGTCTCCAGCAACCCCAGCCGCACAGGGGATCTCGGGTATCAAGGAACAGCCGGCGTGCCCAGGACGCGCCCAGCTCCCTCTTGAGGCTCCACTGCCTGGGGTGGCTTCGTGTCTGGACTCCCGGAGGAGCCTGAAGAAGCCCTGTAGAAGCTGGGGTCTCCAGTGCCTGCTGCGGTGCACACCCACCCAGCCTGCCGGGGCTCAGGGAGCCTGTGGGGCCGGAGACCCAGGCAGGTCCCCAGAGAGCCAAGTGCCTATTAATGGGAGCTCCGGAAGCAGCCCCCTGGTGAGACAGCTCTGGGGGTGCCACAAGCACCCAGACCTTCTCAGTGCCTCCCATCCCAGGAAACCATATCATCCTGGCCCTGCCCTCCTCCTCCAAGTGCCACTGTCACCAAGGGAGCATCTAGTAAACATCCAAAATCTCTCTCAACAGCCCACCCCACCCAGGCTGGCTACAGACTCCCGGGCCTCCACACACCCCCTTCCAAGCCACTTGCCCCCAACAGGAAGCCTTTCAAAGACCATGTCTCACCACTGCCAGCTGTCAGCTGCGTCCCTCGGCTCTGTCTGCCCCAGCCTCACATCCCTAGTTCCTACCTCTGGAGTTCCTCTGCCTACGAGGCCCCCTGCACCCCCAGCTGGGCCTCCTCAAGTCGGATGAAGCCCCAGCCTCCTTCAGGGCCATGGCCCCTCACCACCTCTCCCGGGCTCCAGACTCCGTCCTTTCTTCCCTGGCCTCCTGGCCTTTGCCTGGGCTGTGCCCTCCGCCTGGAGCAGCGGCCTGGATGCCTTCCACCCCACATTTAGGCTTCAGGCCCCACGGCTGCCGCTTCCCAGAACCCTCCCGGCACGCACTTCGGCGACTCTCACAAGTACCTGTTCAGCAGCAGCCTTCGCCCAGGAGTACAGGCTGGGAACGAGGGCAGCGGCCACCTCTGCCGGTCCTGTCAGCACCTAGTGCGATGTCCAGGCCTCCGTGGGTGCTCAACCCGGGCGGCTGTGCTGCCGCAGGTCACAGCACCCATCAGACACCCCCATCCCCACACACACCCTGCACCGGCCCACGCGGCCGTCACACTCGGAGCACACACACTCTGATGCGGCTGCACTGTTGGTACACGCACAGGCGCACACACCCACACGCACAGGCGCACACGTGGGGGCACGCACGCTGGGGCGCCCCGACCTCCCCGCGCGCCCTCCTGCAGCCGCCCCGGCCTCTGTCCCCACGCGTGTCACACACGGCTGGGCATGCTTGCTCACGCCGTCCCGCGACGTGGTTCCAGCCGGCGCCCGGAGCTCGATCAGGAGAGCTGCTGTTGGCCGCCTCTCCCTGCCAGCGTTTGCCAAGTGGTTTCCATGACGACACATCTTGGCTCTGACAGGAACCAAGGAGTGTGGGGAAGAGGGTCCCCACGGAGGGGGCGAGGCGAGGCAGGAGGTCTCTGCGTCTTCAGGCTCCCGGCAGGCATGGGGGACTCCACAAGTGCAGACACCCCCCAACCCCAAGCCAGGCTTGCACCCTGAGAAGGAGGCTCTGGGATGGTCCCTCCGGGCTGCCTGGCACAGGAACTGACTTAGATCACTCAGTCATTCAACAAACTTTCTGGAAGAGCCACTCTGTGCTCGCAGCTGGGGCTGCGATGCCGCCCAAGACATGGGCTCGCAAGAGGCTCAGAGTCGAATCCTGAGGTTAAACTGACGTCCCCGCCACCCCACTGAAGGCCCCATCTGGCAGGTTGGCCCGTGGCTCCCTAAGCCCCAAGGCCCACCAAGCACCTTCTCAAAGCAGGGCTCCCCTCTGTGGTAGATCAATTACAAACATGACCCCAATGCCCCACTCCTTCCTGAATCACCATACCCTTTGCCGTGTGACTTTGCCCCAACTCCTATCTAGAGGTGGCGTCTACTTCCCCGTCCTTCAATCTGAGCCCGTCTTATGACTTGCTGTGGCCAATAAAAGGCGACAGCAATGACATTCCCAGCTCTGAGCTTAAACCTCCAGGGACCTGGGTGCCTCTGCCTGCTCTCTCCGACTCCTGCTATCGCACAAGAACGAGCTGGGCTGGTTTGCAGGAAGGCAAGAGGGTGATGGAGCCTGGGTCACCCTAGCTGAGGCCATCCGGGACTAGCTAGCTCCCAGCTGCCCACAGATGTGTGAGTGAGCCCAGCCAGGACTTGCCAGGCCCAGCAATGGGCAGCAGTGCCGCCTGGTCCTTCTTTAACACTAAGGACATATGAAGTCATGTGTTTGGAGCTATTTGTTACTCAGCACTAGCTAACTGATACCACTCTCTCCAGGGCCCTGGCCAGCAGCTGCCCCACCTCAGCACAGGCCAGAGGCTCTAGAAGTTCCCAGGGGTGCTGAGAACCAGGCCATGGGGAGGGCTGGATTCCACTGGCTAACAGTGCCAGAGGGTGCCGGGGGCAGAGCTTGTGGGAGGGGGTTCCCGTGTCAAGTCCATGGCAGGAGCTACTGAAGCAGAAGCATGACTCTCCACTGCCTTTCTTTGCCTTGGTTTTTCCCCCTGTGAAATGGGCCCATCACCCTGTCCTGTCTCCTGGGGCTACCTGGTAAGGTCGTGTGTGTGGCAGCTGGAGGCGGATCAACTCTGTGCCAGCGCTGGGCTGCAACCTAGGGATAGAGGCCCACTGCTGCCTTCTAGGGACCCACAACTGAGAAGGTGGCATCACTAAGCCCAGCTCACAGACTGGAAACCGTGGGGAGAGGAGGGCGGCTTGCCTGAGGCCCAGGACACACAGAAGCAGGTGGGCGTGGGTCTGAGCTGGTCGTTATCTTCATGTTTTTCTCCCCGTGGTCACCTTTTTGGAAATATTGTACTTCCTGAGCTAACTGCACTTACGAGGTAATGATTGGTGTGAGTTTATAGTCTCTCTCTCTCTTTTTCTTTTTTTGAGATGGAGTCTTGCTCTGTCGCCCAGGCTGGAGTGCAGTGGCCAGATCTCAGCTCACTGCAAGCTCCGCCTCCTGGGTTTATGCCATTCTCCTGCCTCAGCCTCCCGAGTAGCTGGGACTACAGGCGCCACCACCACGCCCGGCTAGTTTTTTGTATTTTTAGTAGAGATGGGGTTTCACCGTGTTAGCCAGGATGGTTTCAATCTCCTGACCTCATGATCTGCTCGCCTCGGCATCCCAAAGTGCTGGGATTACAGGCATGAGCCACCACGCCTGGCCTTTGTTTTTTTGTTTTTTTTTCTGTTTATTTGTTTTTGAGACAGTGTCATTCTTTCACCTAGGCTGGAGTACAGTGGCACAATCTCGGCTCATTGCAACCTCTGCCTCCTGGGTTAAAGCAATTCTCCTGCCTCAGCCTCCTGAGTTGCTGGGATTACAGCCACCATGCCCAGCTAATTTTTGTATTTTTAGTAGAAACGGGGTTTCACCATGTTGGCCAGGCTGGTCTTGAACTCCTGACCTCAAGTGATCCACGCGCCTTGGCCTCTCAAAATGCTGGGATTACAGGCATGAGCCACTGCGCCCGGCTCACTCCTTTTTTTTTTTTTTTTGAGACAGTGTCTCACTCTGTTGCCCGGATAGAGTACAGTGGTATGATTTTGGCTCACTGTAAACTCTGCCTCCCAGCCTCAGCTCCCTGAGTAGCTGTGATTACAGGCGCCCGCCACCAAGCCCAGCTAATTTTTGTATTTTTAGTAGAAATGGGGTTTCACCATATTGACCAGGCTAGTCTCGAACTCCTGACCTCAAGTGATCCACCCACCTTGGCCTCTCAAAATGCTGGGATTACAGGCATGAGCCACTGCACCCGGCTCACTCCTTTTTTTGAGACAGAGTCTCACTCTGTTGCTAGGATAGAGTACAGGTGGTACAATTTTGGCTCACTGTAACCTCTGCCTCCCAGATTCAAGTTATTCTCCTGCCTCAGCCTCCCAAGTAGCTGGGATTACAGGCACCCGCCACCATGCCCAGCTAATTTTGTATTTTTAGTAGACGGGGTCTCACCATGTTGGCCAGGCTGGTCTTGAACTCCTGAGCTCAAGAGATCTGCTCACCTCGGCCTCCCAAAGTGCTGAGGTTACAGGCGTGAGCCACCGCGCCGCGTCCCGCAGTCTCTTTTCACCAGGCATGGTGGTTCAGTGTTACTGCCTGGGGGGCAGCTGATCCGCACTGTTCCCCCGGCTCTGAGTTCCCCCAGGCCAGAGCTGAGAGCCAGGCTCACCAGATCCCTGCAGGAGGGCCTTGTATCTGAGTCCAATTTTCCTCCAGCAGGAGGCCTGGCATTTAGTTACCTGCTATTTTGTCCGCTGTTCAGTGTTCTTGGCCTTTGGATATTTCACCCGGCGTGTTTCATTGTCTTCAGGGAAATGGCTGGTCCAGGCACCCAGCCTGCTGTCACTGGGAAGGGACATGTGCCCTGAGACAGGGCTGACGTCACTGCTGCACCCTGGTGGGGCACACCAGCCCACGGCTGTGCCGCCGGGGAGGTGCCCTTCTGTTGGAGGGCATTTGCCGAAACCTGTAATGGTTCTCATTCTGTGGCCCTGTGGGGTCAAGAGGAGAGAAGTCAGGGCCAGTGCTGCCCAAAATGGGGAGCATTATAGAAAACCTTTCCTACCTTAAGCTGAAAACCTAAAGGGCTACACTCTTAGGGTAAGAGTGAATTGGAATTAGCCCTGCTCCCTCCACAGGAAAGACACTTGGTGCTAAGAGAAGCAAAAAGAAAAAGTTCTTGAGAAGTTAGGGCAACAGCTCTTCTCCAGCACAGATTTGAGGCCCAAGAATGCAGAGAACGCCAAGCACTCAATGCGTTGTTTTGACACAGGGTTTTCTCTCTGTCACCCAGGCTGGAGCATGGTGGCGTGATCATGGCTCACTGCAGCCTCGAACTCCTGGGCTCAAGCAATCCTCCCACCTCAGCCTCCCAGGTAGCTGGAACTTCAGGTGCATACCACCATGCCCAGCTAATTAAAAAGAAAAGAAATACACCAGATGCAGGGGCTCACGCCTGTAATCCCAGCACTTTGAAAAACCACGGCAGGTGGATCACCTGAGATTAGCCACAGCAGGTGGATCACCTGAGATTAGGAGTTGGAGACCAGCCTGGCCAAACTGCTGAGACCCTGTCTCTACTAAAAATACAAAAATTAGCCAGGTGTGGTGGTGGGCGCCTGTAATCCCAGCTACTGGGGAGGCTGAGGCAGAATTGCTTGAACCCAGGAGGTGGAGATTGCAGTAAGCCGAGATCACACTACTGCACTCCAGCCTGGGCAACAAGAGTGAGACTCCGTCTCAAAACAACAAAAAAAAAATGTGTAAAGATGGGGTCTTTCTAAGTTGTCCAGGCTATTCTCAAACTCCTGGCCTTAAACAATCCTCCTACCTCAGCCTCCCAAAGTGCTGGGATTACAGGCATGAGCCACCGTGCCCAGACCTTTGAGGGGACAGTATGTTTGGTTTGCAGTGGCCTCCAGTGGGTAATGCCCCAAATTACTCCTCCCTAGTGGACTCTACCTTCATCCTAGGCCTCAAAGAATCTCTCCATCAACATTTTTCAAAGCCAGTGAGCAGCACATAGTTAAAGATGACTAAGAACACAGGGAAACAGGGCACCATGAGTGACCTGCACAGGCTTCAGACACGAGGACGGTTGTGCACTGTGCTAGACACTGGGGTGGTTGTGTGCGGTGACCGACACTGGCCAGGTGGTCCTGTTGACTTGTTTCCAGGCACCCGGCCTAACCACAGTCCCCAGGATCCTTCATAGCTGGGCACAGCCACACGGCTCAAGTCTGGACGATGGAATGTAGGTGATGATGACAGGAGCAACCTCCAGTCCCAGCCCATAATATACTCTCAAAGAAGTTAGTTAAAGGAGGGCCAAGTGCAGTAGCAGCATTTTGGGAGGCAGAGACAGGGGGATCACCTGAGGTCAGGAGTTTGAGGCCAGCCTGGCCAACACGGCAAAACTCCATCTCTATTAAAAATACAAAAATTAGCCAGGTGTGGTGGCATGTACCTGTAATCCCAACTACTCGGGAGGCTGAGGCAGGAGAATCACTTGAACCCAGGAGGCCGAGATTGCCATGAGCTGAGATTGTGCCACTGCACTCCAGCCTGCGTGACACAGTGAGACACTGTGTCAAAAAAAAAAAAAAAAAAAAAAAGAGGAAAGGGGGAAGAGGAGATGAGAGGAGGAAGAGAGAAAGAGAGAATATCTGAAAGGATAGTGGCTAAGAATTTCCCAGAACTGATGAAAACTACTAATCCACAGATTTAAGAATCCTAGTGAATGCCAAGCAGAACAAATAAAAAGAAACTCTCACCTACAAAAGATAGTAAAATTGCTGAAAACCAAGGAAAATTAAAAAAAAAAAAAAAAAATCTTAAAAGCAGCCAGAGGAAAGAGAGAGTTACTTTGAAAGAACGGACGTTAGACTGACAGCCAAACTTTTGAACACAGTGACAGAAGTCAGGGATGCTGGGATGTGCTGAACAAACCAACGCACTACAAGAGAGTAACTGCCTAGCTGGATGTGGTGTTGTGACTCACGCCTGTAATTCCAGCACTTATGGAGTGCTAGGAGGATCACTTGAGGCCAGGCTGGTCTCGAACTCCTGACCTCAGGTGATCCGCCCACCTTAGCCTCCCAAAGTGCTGAAATTACAGGTGTGAGCCACTGCGCCCGGCCCCCAGGAATAACTTTAACCAAAGAGATGAAAGATCTGTACACTGGAAACTGTTAAGACACCAATTTAAATAAACTGAAGAGGACACAAATAAATGGAAAGATATCCCATATTCATGGATAAGAATGACAATTTTTTTTTTTTTTTTTTTTGAGACAGAGTCTCACTCTGTCACCCAGGTTGGAGGGCAGTGGCGTGATCTTGGCTCACTGCAAGCTCCGCCTCCCGGGTTCACGCCATTCTCCTGCCTCAGCCTCCCGAGTAGCTGGAATTACAGGCGCCCGCCACCTCGCCCGGCAATTTTTTTGTATTTTTAGTAGAGATGGGACTTCACTGTGTTAGCCAGGATGGTCTCGATCTCCTGATCTCATGATCCACCCACCTCAGCCTCCCAAAGTGCTGGGATTACAGGCATGAGCCACTGTGCCCGACGACTAATATTTTTTAAATGTCCATACTACCCAAAGTGCTCTACAACCTCAATGCAATTCCTATCAAAGTTCCAATGGCCTTTTTCACAGAAGCTGAAAAAACAATCCTAAAATTCATATGGAACCACAAAAGACCCCAGAGGCAGAGTAATTTTGAAAAAGAACAAAGCTGGTGGCATCACATTACTTGACTTCAAAGTATACTACAAAGTTAGAGTAAGCAAAACAGTATGGTACTGGCATACACACAGACACACAGACCAGTGGAACAGAGCAGAACATAGAAATAAACTCTCATGATTAGTCTTTGACAAGGGTGCCAAGAATACACAGTGGGGAAAGGATAGTCCCTTTAATAACAGAGGACCAGACTACTCAGGAGGCTGAGGCAGGAGAATCGGTTGAACCCAGGAGGCAGAGGTTGCAGTGAGCTAAGATTGCGCCATCGCACTCCAGCCTGGACAAGAGTGAGACTCTGTCTCAGTAAATAAATACGTAAATAAATAAGAGGACCTAGGGAGACTATCTCTACAAAGATTTTAAAAATTAGTTGGGTGTGGTGGCATGCGCCTATAGTCTCAGCTGCTTGGGAGGCTGAGGCAGGCAGGTGGCTTGAGCCCAGGAAGTTGAAGCTGCAGTGAACTGACCATGCCACTGCACTCCAGCCTGGGCCACAGAGCAAGACCCCATCTGTAAAACAAACTAAAACATCACTGGGCGCAATGGCTCATGCCTATAATCCCAGCACTTTGGGAGGCCAAGGCAGGCAAATTACCTGAGCTCAGGAGTTTGAGAGCAGCCTGGGCAACATGGTGAAACTTTGTCTC